CCAGCATGTAAACAACGTATGCCAGCCTCCTTTCCTGAGAACATCCCAAAATAGCAAAGATCTTTTCCAGCTCACAGATCCAGTGGTCAGCTACCTTTGGGTCTGCATCTCCCTTGAACTGTAGAGGATGGCACTTCCGGAACTCAGCTAGATCCCGGCTCTCCTGTGACCCCGCGGGCCTTGCTGCACCAACCGCAGCTCTATCAGCATCCATCCGAGCAAAATAGGCATTTTGCTGCTGCATAGCCATGGCCATCATCTCCATGGCACGGGCTATCTGCTCATTGGTTATAATCATTGTCTACAAAAGTAACAGCATCTTTAGTATACAATAAATGAACCAAACAACAATCAACAGCACAGCAAACAACAATAAATCAGCATAACATAGAGTTCAGCACAACAAAAGCCTAAAAGAACCACCCCCAAAGAGTGCCCACTAGACTCGAATTGCTCTGATACCACTAAAGTGTAACGACCCGGCTGGCCACTACACTCTGCCCAACACCATAGAACCACACAGAAAGGACATGCATATACATAAGTAGCTACAATATATATATATACACGAGGTCCAATCTGAGCTAACATCAGAGTATACAAATTACATCCAACAATGCCACACTAGGTAGCTAAAACAACAAAACATCAAAAGAATCAGCTCTATCAGCCAGCTTTAGACCTGCCTCAACTCACCAACCTAGCCCTGCTCTGCTCCCATACAACGTATGATCATCGTAGTCCAAACACATGGAAACAACAAAGGGTAAGCTAGTGAAAAGAATCATCATACATATATGGAAATACATGAATAGTAAACAGATACAGCTATCAGCACATCATCAACATACAACTCATCAACTATACATCGTAAACAGCAATAAACACATAATGCATCGTCACGCATATCAGCTCGGAGATCTCCTACAATAGCTCAGCCTTACGGCCTACAACAGCTCAGCCTTACGGCCTACAACAGCTTATATCAGCATGCAGCACAGCACAACATTTCAGCAATAATAACATACAGCACAGCTCAACATTATACCGCACAACTTAAACATCATAATTTAGCATTATCATCTAACAGCACAGGAATATTCATTATTTACAGCTTAGCTCAACATATAACAACATCTATCAGCAATTTCAGCATAATTCAACATATATAAGCATATAACAGCATATAAGACAACATATCATTCGCGCCCGGCGCACTCATGGTCGCGCCCGGCGCACTCATGGTCGCGCCCGGCGTAGCACAACCAGAAAGCATCAGGGCTCAAGCGCGCTCGGTGCAATACCTATTGCGCCCGGCGTGCTAGGAGGCAGAGACCTCAAAAGGTCTCACACGCCCGACGTGCAAACCCGCGCTCGGCGCAAGGTAAGCAGAGACTTCCCTAAGGTCTCACGCCCGACGCAATATGAATTGCGCCTGGCGCCACCTCTGGCAAAGACTCCAAGGAGTCCCCACGCCCGGCGAGACAGGGTCACGCCCGGTACCACACTAGAACCATAAAAAACCAAGTTACTTCCTGATATCGCGCCCAGCACGGTCCCACCACGCCCGGCGTGGGCCATCTAGAGGCTCACATTCTCAAGCTCGCCCGGCGCATACACCATTGCGCCCGACGTGCTTGCCCAAATGGAGCCCTCTGGTGGTCACGCGCCCGACGCGAAGAACTGCGTCCGGCGTGATACTCAACAGCAACTCACCAAGTTCGAAAATCTCTTCAAAAAATCTGCAAAATAGATGAAAATCCACATGTAATCGGCCCAAAACATCACATTTTCATCAAAGAGTTCAAAAACATCATCTTTTTACACATGCAACCACAATTAAGAAAAATCCCAAATTTTCATCAAAACCCCGAAAAACCCCGAAAACGAATTTCATCACACACAGCCATCATTCCTCAAGAAATCAGCCACACAATGAGTTTAAGAACTCATTCCAACAGAATCGGCTAAGAAACCTAGCTTCCCTTACTTCGGTACAAGAATTTCCGAGCTCTGGGACGAAGAAGACAATGAAGAAGGAGTAGAAAAGGGGAAGATGAGAAGCTTGAGAGATCTCCGCACGGCTCCGGAAGAAACAACCACCTACTCAGCACCTTCAATCCAAATTCACCACAAGGACAAATGAGAGCAAAGCCAGCAAAAATGGAAGAAGAGAGTGAGAGTTTGAGAGTTGAGAGATAGAAAGTGAGAAAACAAGCCACGGGTCTCATACAAAACGGAGTATTTTTTTATATCGAATAAATATTTTAATTTATGCTAACATATATTTAATCAATTTTAGGAATTGTAACATTAAATAAAATAAAATAAAATTTATATACATTTAAGACCAACAAATATAAACTTTTGTTATTTATATTCAAAACGGAGTATTTTCTTTTATATCGAATACATCTTTTAATTTATGCTAACATATATTTAATCAATTTTAACTAGATAATAAAATATGTATAAATGGACAATTGTGGTTAAATAAAGAAAAAAAATGATTAATATAATTTATTTATATTTCCTTAAGCCATCAACGCAAAGGTCTAAGGTCGTTAGTTCAAATTATCATAACCGAGAATAACTAATAAATTATTAATGCAAAATTTGTTAAATATATTAGTCGAGAATAATTTATTTACCAAATGGGGCTCAGCACACCTGTAGCATCTAAGGGTAGCACCTCCACCCTGTCTCCCTCCTCTAGCAGCATCAGCAAGTTGCCTAATGATAGGACCCCCTTGCTGTGGTTGGGGCCTTCCATAATTTTTTTTTCTTTGTTGTTCATCCTCCAAAATCTAAAATTATTATTTTTATTTGATATTATTATCTAATTATTTTTAACTTCTTATTTGTTAAAGAATGTTACTGTAAATCTAAATGAATAACAGGTATTGGATGTAATTTTGAAAAAATATAGAAAATATAAGTGTAATATCTTTTTAACTTTTAAGAAATTTTACTATAAGTTTAAGTAATGAGGAAGGGGGGTTGGGTATTGAGTATAATCTAAAAAAAAATATAAGGGTGCTGTATACGTAATATTTTTTCAATTTTTAAAAGTCTCATTGTAAGTTTAAATAACGAAAGAGTATTTAATGTAATCTAAAAAAAAAAACAAGAATGCGAACATTATTTACCATAAAAACATTATATTAACTATATGTAAGATATATTATAATTACTACCGTACAAAAGATATCTCATACATCTATATATTTTATTTAAAAATAAAATAAAATAATGATAAAAAGTATTTGAAGTAAAAAAAAAAAAAGAGAGAACCGTTAATGGGTGTAAGTTGTTTTGTTTTTTTGGTTCGTCCCTGAAATATCCACCGCCGATAGCAGTAGGTGGGATAGCTGACCCCAAGATTTAACGGGGCTGCATACACAAGGCAGGATTCGAACCCCTGACCTTGCTTAAGCGTGGATCAACCCCTACCGCTGAACCACACGCTTGGGGTTAAGTTGTTTTGTTTAATTAATTAGAAAGTGTAATAAAAAAATATTTTAAAAATTATAAAAATAAAACGATTGATAAAAAAATATATACTAAAAAGTCACATCGCCTTATTTAATAGTTTAAAAAATAGATATTATGATTTATTATAAAATATTCAATGTTGATTGATCTTTTAGTTAAATTTTACAATTTAAACTATAAATTTCAATAAAAATATGGAAGGCTATATATATATATATATATATATATATATATATTAATAACCATATTATTGAATCTTTCACTTTTGTCATGTTTTTCATACACAATGTACAAACCCAAAATTTTAATTAAGTAGTACAACTCAAACTAATAATTCTTAATGTTGAATACTATATTTGGTTGTGACGGCTGTGGACTCTCCTAGGGACGGCAAAATTACCAAACCTGGATCTGCTATATGGACACATCAATGACCTACTTAAGGTTTAAATCTTTGCTAAAAATGTCCACATTCAGGATGAATCAAAAATTGAGTTTTTTGTTATTTTAATATTTATTTTTAATTTTTTAATGTCTACATTTAGTGTTTAATTAAAAAAAATAGTCACCGGAAAAGATAAACCATTAAATGAAAGCCATGATCCAGTGAAGGAAACGAGAGGGTCCATAACTGAGTGAACTGAAAAAAGAAGAATATAATAATTTAGAAATGCCGTTGCAAACCAAAGTTACTAGTCCTCTTTGACATATCCTTCGCTTGTTTGCCTTCCAGAATACCAAAAATATATATACAACAGTTAAGTTTGATGTTTCACGTTTGTCTCATAGCACAGTTAAGAGAAATGAAGTGGAACTTCTGAAACATTGCATATGACAAAATACCAGATTTCATTATTACCACTTCATAATTACTTGTTTTGAATATTAATTAATATTTACTTCTTTCTTTTTACTAATTAATAGAAAAAATTGTTGCCCAATTTTTTCTTAACAAAACTAAGCTTAGATCTTTATATTAGATAGATCAGTAGTTGAGAAGTCAAACGTTCAAGTATCTGAATTTAAATATGAATTATAATTTTTTTTATTCAGAAAATCATGTTATTTGTGTAAAATATTTGTCAACTTTGTTTATAATTAATCTTTATTGAAGAATATGATCGATTATTTTTAGTGAAGTCTGTCTTTTTAATAATATTTTTTTCATTTATTATACTTGAAGTCAAGATTTTATTTAAGAAGACTTGTAACACAAGCACCAGTGATTTGTTGTTAATATGTATGAGTTTAACAAGAGAAAGAAGACATTATGGTGGCAACTAAATGGGTAATCCAACATCCATAATATAAAAAAGGTACAAGCAATAGCTCCAAACTCATGAATACAAAAGAAGAAAATCAAAAAAAGAAAAAGAAACAGTAAACCACAAAGATACAATGATATATAACCTCATATAATTGTGTCACACAGGAACGAAATGGTGCAATGTGTAGTGCAACATGCAAAGAGGGTAGGAAGCACAGGATGAGAAGTGAAGATATGTTTAAGGGGTAGAGGAGGTTGAAGGTGGTGGGGAGAAGAAAGGGAATAAAGAGGGGATATTGGTTGGAATTGAGGGCAATGGGGGAAGGTTGAGGGAAGGGAGTGTTGGCATAGTTGGAAGTGATGGGATAGTGGGCATTGGGGGCATGTTGGCCTGAGGCAGTGTTGGAATATTTGAAGGCAAAGGTGGCAGCAGTGTTGGGTTAGGCAAATTTGGTTGAGTGGTTACTTGCAAAAGATGACGACCTTCTACCCTCAAACTCATGCTTGAGAAGACCACTACTAAAAACAAAGCTGTGATGAAGGATTTCCCTGAGGCCATGGTTGATGAGTTGCAAGAGTTCACAAGAATTGGAATCAATTTGCTTAATTTGATATTGTGTGAGAGGTGAAGATAGTGGTTGGTCTTATATATAGACTGAGAGATGCTACAGTTTGGAGAACCACTAACTAGAGCTTTTGCAATCTTTAGTTAGTTCAACGTCCTGTTTGAAAAATAATATATATTTTGTGGTCAGAGTTCTAATGTGGTTGGCAATTGTAATCCGATAACATTGAACTGTATGGTGACCAACTCTTTCTGTTTCCTATGTAACAAAGAGTAAAAAGGTATAAAATGGATCTCTATTTATGTAGTTACTTTTGGCAGCTGAGAAGAATTGGAGTTGGAAAGGAGGGAATATCTGAGTGTTGGTTATCTAATTGAGTTCACCTTTGTTGCCATTATTAATTATATGACTTCCTTTTTAGGTGACTTACTTCAATGCACTTCAATATGTTTTACATTTATGTAAATATGTCTCTATCATATTTATTTATAATTTTTTTTTTCATTTTTAAATCCTTGATAGTTGTTTAAAATGTTCTTTTTTAATCATTATCATAAATTCTATTTAGTTTAATATTGACATGTGTAACAAAATAAAAAAAAATATAATATGGATTAATATAATTAAGATGATAAATAATATTTTAAATTAAGATAACTAAATTATTTATAGATACATAATTTAATTAAATAATGTATTTATTTATTTTATATAAATAAAGTAATTACATATAATTTTTTTTATAATTTATTTTTACTTTTAATATATTATGAACAATAATTTTATTGTTTTTAATATTATTCTTATTTCAATTTATTAATTTATTTTTATCATGGTACTTTTTCTTACATATTATAATTCATTTGGATTTTATAATTACTTATAATGTTATTTTCATATTTCAATTCATAAATTTTGATTGATTATAATATAATTTTTTAATATATAAAAAATAATTATTTTGTCTCCAAATAAAAATAATATATTTAAAATAAATTATAAATATCTAAAAAAATAGATATATATTTTTAAGAAATACAATATGAAAAATAAATTAGTGAGTTGAAAAGTGAGAACAGTATTCAAAATAATAAAAATTATTTTTTTATATATAAAATAATAAATAAATTACTTAAATAATTATACATTTGAAAAATATAATAATCTTAATTTAAAATATTTTTTACCATAATTATTTTAATTCAAAAATATTCTTTAATACGTTGATTATCTTAACTAATATTTTCATTTTTGTTAGTGAGCACTAAATTAACTAAAGTCAATAATAAAAATAAAAAACAATACAAAAATATAATAATTTATTAATCATTATATCTTTATACTGTATATTTAATAGTATTTTATTAAGATTAATTATTAAGATATCAAAGAATTTTATTTAAATGTTAACAACTACTATTCTAAGATAATTAAAATAAAATAATTTTAATTTTTTTTATACTTTTATTATTCAAGAAAACCTGAATTTTATATACATATATTTACCTTTCAAATTTTATACTAAAAAATATTTTTTATTATAAATTATAATCTCATTATTCTCTTATTATTTTATTTAAATCTATAATGCATACATATTTAATTTTGCAATGAATTATATATTTTTATGTTTTAATTAAAAAATGGATGACTAGAATTTAGCATTTTAAACAACGTGTGTATTACAAAAGAAAAAAAAAAGCGTGTAAATCCTCCAAAGTAGAATAGCAATTGAAGTTATGTTTTACTTAAATGAAATAAAAATAATTAATATACAATCTATATAAAGAATGGAGTAGACGTGACAAATTTTATAATCTAAGTATTATATAGACCAGTCATCTTCTTAACTTTATCCTTATACTTTAGAGAATTCGCTGCCATTTTACAAGTGATTAATTAACCACTATAAAATATGGTGTAAAAAAACCAATATAAAATATTTTAATAATTTGTGATTCTATCAATAATTGGTATAATTAATTAAACTTATTTACTATCACTACTAGAATTTCTCTTATTACATGCGACTTTTCCTACGAATTTTTCATAAAAATTTGCAGGAAACGTTGTTCCTACAAATTTTTCTGCGAAATTTTATTTGCATGTAATACCTTCGTGGATAATATATTTTTGCGAATTTTAAAATTCGCAGGAAAATTTCCTGCGAAATTTCTTGCGAAAAAAATTCGCAGGAAAGTTTCTTGCAAAAAAAAATTTGCAGGAAATTTTCCTGCAAAAAAAAATCCGTAGGAAAATTCGCAGGAAAGTTTCTTGCAAAAAAAAATTGCAGGAAATTTTCCTGCAAAAAAATTCGCAAGAAACTTTCCTGCGAATTTTTTTGCAAGAAATTCTGCAGGAATATTTTTTACGAAAAAATAAAAAAAAATACTATAAATTATATATTTTAAGAATTCTTAATCTTTTATTTTCATGCCTCATACATAATCTTTTAAATTCTAAGATTGTAGATTACAAGTCTAACACTCAACCATACAATTCAACTTGTAAGGTAAGTGTTGCCCCAACTTATATACTCTTTAATTGTTTTATTTTCAATCGATGTGGGACTTAGAGATTTTTTAAAATATTAAACTTATGAATTTAAATATTTTTTTTATTTTTCCTGCAAATTAAAATTTGCAGGAAAATCCGCAAGAAAAATTACCTGCAAAATTTTTCTACCATTTAGTAAACATTACTTGCGAATTTATTTTTGCAAGAAAATCTGCAAGAAACAAAATAAAATTCTTTCTGTGAATATTTTTTTTTAGGAAAATTCGTAAAAAATTTCTGCGAATATTTTTTTTGCAGGAAATTTTGCAAAAACTTTCTACGAATATTTTTTTGTAGGAAAATTTGCAAAAAAATGACACTTTTCTAGTAGTGTATTAACACTACAAGAAATGTTACATATAGTGACATACAAAAAGTGTCATTATAGGTACAATATATGTAGGTATATGTCCATTTAACATATAGTTACACATAATTTTAATGTTGATTTGGAATGAGATTTAACAACACATTTGTGTGTCACTATAGTTTATACTCACACTTTTTAATAATATATCAACATATATTATAGTTATTGTGTGGGTAAAAATATATTTTAGTGACATGTATAGTATCACTATAGGATATTTGTCACTATATGACAATTTTCTTGTTGTGTAATCACTTGTAAGGTAAAATTAATCATATGTATACATGTAATTAATAAAGTATGAGTTGTGAACTCTATGACTTACAACGTATATTATTAATCCCATGTGAATCAAAGTTGATTATTGGATATTTTAATAACTTTGTAACATTATTAATTATATATATCGATTAATTATGTATACAATTACCTTCATATATTTTAAATCACTTATGTGATAAATTTAATATAAGTTAATATATGATACCTTGATATTTCTCCATTTACTTTACTCTTTTTCGAATAAAATTAATAGAATTTTGTTTGCCCATGCTACTAGTATAGTACATTGAAACTTACGATGTTACAACATTAAACATTAGCAATAATGTATATTTTATGAAAGTGAAGAAGAAAGGAATTAAGATTTGTAATCATGGAATAATAGAGTCTATAACAATGGGTCTCCAAGTATATGAAGTAAAGCAATTAAATGGAACAATGAAAAGCTAAAAGCATCGCGAACAGAAGATAAACAACATACAAAAACAGAATGTATGGGTATAGTATATGACTAAAACACATGACAGAAAATAAGGAGCTAATGAGAGGATGGCAGAGGTAGAGATGAGTGTGTGGAACTCCAAGTGATCAAGGAGGGGAGGTTGAGTTTCAGGGTGTGGTGGTTGAAGGTGGTGGAGAGAAGAAGGGGATGGAAGGAAAAGTGGTTGGAATGGTTGGGATTGATGGAAAGTTTGGTAGTGAAGTGGCTGGAAGTGGTGGAAGAGTGACCTGTGGGACACTTGGAATGTTAGGAATAGATGGCAATGGGATAGTAGGCAAAGGTGGAACGTTTCCCTGAGGCAATGTTGGAACTGTAGGCAAAGGTGGAACGTTTCCCCGAGGCAATGTTGGAACTGTAGGCAAAGGTGGCAATGTTGTTTGCAATAGTTGGCGTGCTGCTAATGCCATGTCCATGCATGAGAAGGAAATAGCAATGAAAAAAGCCAAGATCATGCAACTGTAGTATTGAGAGGCCATAGCTGGTTATGTTGCAACTTTGATTTCTATTAGGTAGCAGTTGATATCCTGAAGAGGAAGTGTGCATGTTCCTTTTATAGACAATCACTTGGTATATGAGATGAGACCCTTTTGCTATTTCTTCTTCTTGTTAGCTTACCTTCTTTAGAATAAACCCTTTTAATTTGTTGGTAGTGGTTGGTTGGCTGGTTTTGTGGCAACAGATAGAGCGAGCAGATTCAAAAGTAGGATATCAAACCCTTCTCTCTCTTTGAATAATTCCACAGATTAATTTATTACTTATTATTATGTTTTACTATGTGTTTGGTAATCCAACCTTGCCCATGGGTCCTGCCAGCTGGGGAGCCACCTCAGTAACTTGCATATAAAGTTTAATTTATCTTATTACTATGCGTTTGTAAATATTGTTATTCAATATGAAAATTAAAGGTATAGATAACAAATACTAATACATCTCAGAAATTATTATATGATCTTAAACAACATAATTCTTATTAAAGGAGTTGGTTGAATGTTATAAAATTTCTTAGTACTCGTACTTGATTCCCATACAAAGCTAATTAACACTCCCAATATGGTCTGCCACTCTTCTTTCTCTTCCCCGTCTGCCACCATTCATTGATGCACTCGAGGAAGAGTTCATCCACTAAGCAGATTGTCCTTTTCTTCATCATCTCCAGCACCAAGTCTGCTTCGACCTTCATCACTACATATACTCTTCCTCCTTCACAAGCTTTCATAACCAAAAAAAAAAAGAAGAGAAATTTTGATTTGGTTTTCGTCCCCACTTTGTTTATTCTTAAATTTAGCATTCCTAAGCTGTAATCGCTTCCCAGAATGCATTCTTTGTTACACCTTTTAATATAAATGAATTAAATATATTGTCTTCCTTAATATATAAATATATTCTAAAATTATTTTTAAAAAGATAAATTTTATTTTTATTATTGTGATTTTATTTTAATCTTCATAATATTTTACTTTTTTTGTTTGTTTTTATAGTATGTTAATAATTTACTTTTAGTCAGTATTAGTTTTTTTAAAAGATACAAGTTTAGAATGAACAAAATATTATAAACAGTAAAATGAAAAATAAATACATTACAAGGACTAAAATAAAAATAAATGAATTTTACAAAGACTATTTAAGTATAAATAAACTTATAAAGACTATTTTTTTTTTTAAAAAAAAGTTTATTATAAACTTAAAAAATATGTGATTAGTGTACAATGTAAAACACTCTTAAATTTTTTTTTTTAAAGGTCCAAATCCCCTCCCCCAACACACATATAATCTCGTATTCTTAAGATGTATATAGTGAATCCCTAATGCGTAGGTCATGTCCCAATTTGGTTGTCTATAGTCAACTTATTTTGCAGCCATTCTCCTCTCCACGATCTATATGAAGAAGCTCCTAAGCATTACAATTACAACGAAACAAAACATACAGACAAGAAATGTGACTCTCTTTAACTCGGACGGTCCTTCTCAGTTCTCACCCTTTATCAATCTCATCTTCCTTTACTTTTATGGAGCATGTTTGATATTTGGCATGTCTCGCCAGTTTGTTCATTTAGTTTAATGTGTTTAGCTGATCTTATAAGAAAAAGAAAGTCTTTCATACGTACAATTCTTATTTTGGGGTTTCCTTCGGGTCCATTGGGCTTTTGACAAATAGTTTTTTATTGAGGGTGCTTTGACTCCTCTTACGTGTAAATAGTTTTTTTTTTTTTTCATTTACATGTTCTACAAAAATGTCTTAAAATTAATAAAGATTAATTTATATTTGTAGGACATAATTTTTGCTAATCAAATATTATTTTAATATACATGAGAATCGAAGTTGGGAGCATCAAGTCGATCTTCTCATATCCTAGGTCAGACCTTACAATCATTAGGATATGTTATGATTAAATACACTTCTATCCATTAATAATATATTTTAAAAAATGGTTTTGAAAATAACATGATTTTGAAAATCAAACCAAACCAGACGGTTAAAATGGTTTGAACGTGAATTAGTTGGTCTGAAAAATTATTTGGCAGCAAATTGGTGAAAAATTGATAGAACCAATCAAAATTGATAAAAACAAATCATTGAACCAATTTGAACCGCCTCGATTAATTTTTTTTAATAAATTTTTAAAATTTAATTTTAAACATCTTTAATAAAATGCATCTTTTTAAAAAATTATAACTTAAAATAACTTATTTTTAATACTTGTCTTAAAAATATAATTTAATCATTTATGTTAATTTATAATTTTTAATATCTTTATTTTTTATAATTTATGTAACACTATTGTTTTTAAGGTGTTTGACTAGATTGTATGAATTATTATATAATTTAATTGCATGAGTGGTGTTGTCTTAGTTGTTAATACTTGTTACAAATGTTTCTTAAGAACTTTGAAGTAAAGGGACCCTGAGAATTAATTAGGCCTTTAGGGTAGTTGAAACAAAGATAAGTTGGGTCAACATAGGAAAGGTATATAAAGGTTTCTTAAAAAGTGAATTCATAATTTCATGTTTTAAAAGCTCTAGAAAGAAGTTAGAGAGAAACTCTTTGGAACCTAGAACTTCCTCTTTTTCTTCTAAAAATCTTTTTATTCTCCCTATAGCTGATTCACTTAGCTAGCTAGGGAATTTGAATTTTCGAGGTTGGAATCTCAAGTTGAAAGTTGTACAGAGCTACCTTCTTTTCTCCTTTTTTTCAAATTCGATGTCGATAAGAGGTAAGGAAAGTTTGTGTTGATTTTTGTTAGATGCATGGTGAATGTCTATAATCACTAAATTCATGTTGTTATTGTTGAATTCATTGGGATAATGAGTTATAGTTAGGATTTTTCTTGAAGTGGTTACATGTTGTAAATGTAGTTATTTTCGAGTTGCTTGTGATGCCTGAATTTGGTTTTGTACAATGCATGTTTGAAAATTGCTGGATTTTAGGTGGATTGGATGAAATCAATTTCCACATAAGTGAAAAAATTAATATAGCGTCGGGCTTGCCTTCATAATGTCGAGTGTGGTTTCAAATCAAGGTTTCTCATTCTCTTGATGGTGGACACAAAATTGGTGGTGCCGAGCATGAGGAGAGGGAAGTGTCTCTAACTTAGCCACGCCGGATGTAGGTTTGAATGGTGTCGGGCATAAGGAGAAAGACTCATCTCTACTTGGATCTGGCGTTGGGCATGAGTCACACAAAGGCCTTTTTCCTAGTTGAGCTGGGGCGTGGATTTTGCCACGCTAGGTGTGAGAGTGTGAGAGACTCTCTATCTCAACCATATTGGGCATAAGTAGTTTGGCGCTGAGCATAGGCGAGACAAGGAGCCCTTTGCCTTAATGGCGTTGGGCATCCTCTAAGTGGTGTCGAGCGTGAGTGTTGCATGATAAAAAAATGTTATTTTTAAGTTGTTTTATAGTTGAATGGTGATGAATAAGTTGTGTGGATGATGACATATGACAATGAATCTATATGTTGTAAAGTTGTAAGTTGATAAATGATATAGTTGTATAAGTTGTATGCAACTAAAGTTGTTTCAAGTTGCTAAAGTTGTAGCCATGTAGTTTAGATACATGTCTTAGTTAAGATACATAAAAACTATAGGAGAGTAAAATTGTTTTAGAAATTAGAATATCCCAATATGTGGATATACGTTGTGGTGCTCCCAGAGCTCGATGGAAATTCTTTAGTAAGTAAATTGGTTTTTGAATGAGTAGTTGTTTTAAGTTGCTCCCTCTAAGTTTTATGTGGTATCTGTATGTGCGCAAGGTTGAGACAAACGTATATAAAGTGACCAATCAAGTAAAGTACAAGGTCGGAGACTTAATGTCTAACCGAGTATTGGAGGGACATAGTAATTAGAGGATAGTTAGCGGGTTAATCTCATATGTGACTTAGTATCGCAGTTTAATGTCGTGGTAGGTTCATACCCAAATTGTTTTACCCTGACAGTAACATTAGGCTTCCTAGTTTAAGTGACAAATCTTGAGAAATCAAATTAAGTTATTAAACATGTGTTCTAAGAGGCTTGAAGTTGTCTATACTTAACTCGGTTGCGATATGTCAAATATTGTGGATCAATAAGGTCTAGCCACTTAAACTGCTCACCTTTGTTATAGGAGGTTTCAATAGTTGATATGTGTGATGACATATTTGATAAATATTTGTATATGTTGTTGTGTTGAGTGTGTTGAAGTTGATTAAGTTGGATATTGTGTTGGTGGTGGAGAAGTTGTATGTTGCTTGTATGAAGTTAACTATGTTGCAATTGTTGTAAGTTATTCAGTTGTATATTTATATTGTTGTAAATTTATCAAAAATAAACGTCATTGTCATTATAAAAGAATGCTCGGGATAAGTTAGGAATTTGAGAATAATTTAAAAGACATTTCTACACTAATTATAAATTGAACTATTGTAAAATATTCTCATTTCCATCGATTAAACCTACAATTGATATAAAAGAGAATGTTTGACATTGGTTTCTTTGTAACTTGTTGCCGAATCTAAATTATATCACTGTGTTTTTTATTATATTATTTAATAATCAATTGTAAAATATTATTTTTGTTCTAGTGTCTCTTGATATATATATATATATATATATATATA